CCATGTTCATGCAAATGCCGCGGGGGATATTTAAATCCCCCGCGGCATTTGCAATTCCGAAGTGTCTCATTAGCATTCCTTTTCCGGAAAGGGGTGCCAATGTAGACACAGCCCTCTAGTCTGGAACCCTCTAGTCCGGCATGATTTTAGTTAACTGGATGTCCACTTATCATGGGTGTGGCCAAGTTTCCCATGGGCCCATCAAGTTTGTTTACAGTGACTAGGCCTGGCTCTCAGTGTTCTGTGCTGTTATTTAGCTGTAATTTACCCCTCCATGTCTTCTCAGAGTTCAGTAAGCAATGAAGCACTTTAAAGACTAACAAGATGGTTTATTAGATGATGAGCTTTCGTGGGCCAGACCCACTTCCTCAGATCAAATAGTGGAAGAAAATAGTCACAACCATATATGCCAAAGGATACAATTAAAAAAATGAACACATATGAAAAGGACAAATCACATTTCAGAACATTCAGAATGTTCTGAAATGTGATTTGTCCTTTTCATATGTGTTCATTTTTTTAATTGTATCCTTTGGCATATATGGTTGTGACTATTTTCTTCCACTATTTGATCTGAGGAAGTGGGTCTGGCCCACGAAAGCTCATCATCTAATAAACCATCTTGTTAGTCTTTAAAGTGCTACATAGTCCTGTATTTGTTTCAGCTACACCAGACTAACATGGCTACATTTCTATCACTATTCAGTAAGCAATGGAAGTGTTGGTAATACTGCTGGACAATATTGACCTCCCATGGTTTGATAAATTCTCTGGTTTGGCACCGGTCAGGTCCCGAGGGTGCCGGACTGGAGAGGTTCAATCTGTAACAATTTGTCTGTTCCTGAATTTGACCAGCTATCAGAATGTATCCAATGAAGGTGCTGTCTCTTTGTAGCTAATTCTGTCACTTGCACACTTGCATGAATGTTGCATGTGCTCTTTGTATCTAGCTGTCTGATTTCCTGATATGTTTTACAGCCTCTAGACTACGAGATTTCAGCCTTCCACACACTGCTGATCAAAGTAGAAAACGAAGACCCACTGGTTCCAGACATAGCCTATGGCCCCAGTTCTACAGCGACAGTTCAGATCACTGTTCTGGATGTGAATGAAGGCCCTGTTTTCCACCCAGATCCAATGACAGTCACCAAACAAGAAAACATCCCCATAGGCAGTGTTGTTTTAACAGTAAATGCCACAGATCCAGATACTTTGCAACATCAGACCATTAGGTGAGTGCCATATTCTTTAAATCTGCCAAAAAGTGAATATAAATGTGCTTGCAGAGATTGGCTGTTAGTACCACATTACGTTCAATTAATTTGGGATCTCAGTAATAAAGAGGGAGGATTCCTTTTTTCATAATGAAGAGATTCATTATCATGAAGATAAAAAACTACATCAGGTAAGTAACACTCGTTTTATAAGAAGTAAGTAACTGCAGCAGAGTAATCCAATGCCACAAGTGCAGATTTCTTATGATTTGTAACCTGCTTGTAAATCCTTGACTCCAAACCTTTCCTATGAGATCACAAAAAAATGTTTTTAAACATTTTCAACTAGTTTATGAGAATAGTGCCTCTGTTTTACAGATGGTTGAACCAGGCTTTATATTTATTTCTAATGAAATAATATCATCCATTGAGATTTAAGAATTATAGGAATAATAGATGATCCTCAACTAAGCAGTGATATTGTACAGTAAACTTACTTCTGGGTAAAAGCCAAATAGGAGAAATGCAGGTGTCATAGGCCACATGACGAGACACATATAAGTGAGTCCACAAGATTTGCTGTTGGAGTTTGACAGTGAACCATCCACACTAATCTAAAATTCCTCGGGTCTTCTTTGCTCCCTTTTTAAAGATAGGCACTATGTTTACACTTCTCAAATCCTACATGACTTCACCAGACCTCTATGACTTCCTGAAGATGATTTCTAATGCATACAAGAATGCATCAGTTAGTTTCCTATGAATTCTATGGTGTATTTTGTCAGATCTTGCCCTCTTAAATACATTTGACTTCTCTAAATTTTCTTTAACCTGCTCTTTTGTCTTGCATTTCTTCCCCCCATGTTGTTAGCATTAATTGTGTTAAGCATCTGATCTTAACATTTTTAATTAAAAGTAAAGCACCCTAGCCTTTTTCTGTTAATAACTCTCCTTCACTCAGTCAGGGTATGTCTAAACTACAGCGTTAATTCGAGTTAACTTAATTTAAATAGTTAATTTGAAATAAGCTCATTCGAATTAACGCATCTACACAGAAAATTCATTTCGAAATAGCGCGTCCACACTGAGTGGACTCTGAATCGGAGTTAAGGCTGGCCAGAATCAGTGCCGGCAGGGTACCAGGTCAGGACCTCCTGTGTGGGGCTGCTGCCTGTGGCTATCTGAGGTCCGTGCTTAAAGAGACCCTACCCCTCATCCCAGACAGCCAGTTCTCAGGTGTCTCTGCTTGCTTGTCTACCTCAAAGAAAAGCAGGTAGGGGACGGTGATGGCACTTACCTGGTGTGACCTCCCCGGATGACCCTGCTGACTCTGGTGCTGGGACAGCTGGAGGGTCCTGCCGGCGTGGGACCCTCCGCGCTGGCCCCTCTGCCGCGCCCAGGTCAGAGCCCTCCAGTCCCAGCTCATTGTCCCCCGGGGTGGCACGGACCGTCCCGCCCCCCCAGAATGCGGTTGAGGGCAGGGAAGTAGGGGCAGGTGTCAGCCCCGGCTGCGGCCTTAGCGTACGCCTGCCACAGCTCCTTAACTTTGAGGCGCACCAGAAATTCGGGTTTATAGGGCCCTTCATCGACATGGTGGCAGCAAAGGCGACTCTGCCCGAACACAGATTCAACACCATTTGCGACTTTGTCATGAGTGCACAATCAGCTCTGACCATGACAGTACGCGAATGCCAAATTCGAAATAAGCACTCCGCTATTTTGAATTAATTTTGAAATCGTGGTTTGGCTGTGTAGACACTAGTAAAGTTATTTTGAAATAACTTTGCTGTGTAGACATACCCTTAGTTTCCCCACTGTCTTCGTCTCACCAGCCATGTGATGATGTATTCTGTAATATAGAAATATAATTCCATACATGTACCATGTCTTTGAGGAACAGGGTTGGCTATTATTAAGTGCTGCCATCTTCACATATAAAAATGGAGAATCAATTATCAAGCTCTTTTAGGACAGAAGATTGCTATTTTCCTAATCTGAATCCCTTGAAATAAAAGCCAATATTAGACATCTTAAGATGATCTTTCAGTGTTCTGGGAAAGCTCCTGTGGAGAGAGGAACATACTTTTTCCAATCCAAAAAGTGGACTGTTTTTTCAGTTAATAACAGTTCCTGCAGTCTCTGGTAAACTTGATGAAAATTTAGAAAGAACACAGAGAGCATACAAATATGTTGGTCTCAAAATTGCATGTTCTTTGACATGATGTTAATCGTACCTTCCTGAGTATGAGAGGAGGAGTTTCAATCAGATGCTTAGGCGCTTAAACTGGAAGGCTACGGCTACACTGTAGCCTTCTTGTGGAAAAGCTTATGCAAATGAAGTGTGGCGATATTCCACTTCATTTGCATAAGCTTTTCCACAAGAAGACTACAGTGTAGCCATAGCCAAAAAGAGAAGCAAAACTGGGTGGAGCTAGGATGTAGAATGACAAAGGGGAGGACCAAAGGCAGTTGCCCGGAGAGTCCCTCTCAGATCCGCTGCCATGTGGGTCATTAAATATTGAGTGGCAGGATGTCAGGAGAAAAGCTGGTGAGCGGTGACTCTTTGCTATTTGCTTACCAAGAGAATTTCCAGTTAGAAATGGAGCCTTGTTTCAGGGAATTGAAAGTGAATGGGAGAGAGGAGTCATAGGCTACTGTAGAGGGACTAAGAAGCATTGTGTGCTGTGGTCCCTTCTCTCCAGGCCCTATTGCAGGAGGTTGCAAAAACCATTTGCATGAAGGAAGAGTGCAGTTTTGACTTTATGATAAACTACATGGAGATTTAGATATCATTTTTTACCCTTCTGTATTTCCTTTTTGGAGTAAGCAATATAGTTCAAGTGATGTAGGCCTTCTGCCCCTCACTATCTCTGATAGGGTTAAAAGCCAGCCTGGAGGTCTGCAAGGAAACAGCCAATTAGATCAGCAACTGGACCAGCCAATCAAGCTGGTCCATATAAAAGGAAGCTGCAGGCCAGAGCAAGCTAGCATGCTTCAGAAAGCCCAAGGGAGGGGACTGGCTTCCTAAAGGGCTGCAGGGATAAGCGTTATGAACAGGGCTGCTAGGAGTTGCAGGTTCGAGGCCCTGGGGGCAAGGGTGAGGGGGCCGAAGGTGCCAGGGCTGCAGGGAAGTAGCACAGGGAATTAGGACAGACTGGGGGACAAAGAAAGGAAGGCAGTGGGAAGCTGTTGTTTACAAGGCCACGGCCTAGCCCAGGCCCATTGACAGGGGAGATAATAAGGGCCGCTGCTCCAGGACCCGGCGATTAAACAAAAAAAGGCCTGATGCGCCAAGCTGCCACCGCCACCACTACAGCAGCAGCAGTGGCCAGAATCCCAGGCCCTTTAAATAGCCACCAAAACCCTGCCTGGGGGAAACTAGCCCCGGCCCTGCCCTGTCTGAATGAGGGCTCACCTCTTTCAGGAGCATGGAGCCGCCCTCCTTCCCAGCCTTACCCTGGCTTACTGTGAGGTTGTCAGCCCCACTGCCCTAGGCTGAGACCCAGAGTAGTTGAGTGGGCCTGGGTTCCCCCACAACTGCTAAAGAAACAGCCAGGCTAGGGACTACTAAGCAGCTGTAAGGAGTGGCTAGACTGTTGCAGAAGGGGGTCTCTGGATTGTGGAGGGCTGTGCCATGAAGCAGAAGCAGAGAGACCGGAACTACATAAGAACAGCCATACTGGGTCAGACCAAAGGTCCATCTAGCCCAGTATCCTGTCTGCCAACAGTGGCCAATATCAGATGTCCCAGAGGGAGGGAACACAGCAGGTAATCATCACATGATCCCTCTCCTGTCCTCTATTTCCAGACAAACAGGCTAGGGACACCATTCCTACCCATCCTGGCTAATAGCCTAACCTCCATGAACCCATCTAGCTCTTTTTTGAACCCTGTTAAAGTCCTAATTTTCACAACATCCTCTGGCAAGGAGTTCAACAAACCTGCTGCCTATTAATTTCATTTGGTGACTCCTAGTTCTTATATTTTGGGATTAAGTAAATAACTTTTCCTTATTCACTTTTTTCCATACCAGTTATGATTTTATAGACCTCTATCATATCCTCCCTTAGTCTCCTCTTTTCTAAGTTGAAAAGTCCAAGTCTTTTTAATCTCTCTTCACACGGGACCCATTCCAAACCCCTAATAATTTTTATGGCCCTTCTCTGAACATTTTCCAATGGCAAAATTTGTTTTAAAATGAGGTGCTCACATCTGTATGCAGTATTTAGGATGTGGGCGTACCATGGTTTTATATGAAGGCAATAAGATATTCTCTGTCTTATTCTCTATCCCTTTTTTAATTACTCCTAACATTCTAGTTGTGTGTTGTTGTTTTTTTTACTGCCTCTGCACATTGAGTGGATGTTTTCAGAGAACTATCCATAATGACTCTAAGATCTCTCTCTTGAGCAGTTGTAGCTAAATTAGTCCCTATCATATAGTATGTATAGTTGGGATTATTTTTTCCAATGTGCATTACTTTACATTTACCATCATTACATTTCATTTGCCATTTTGTTGCCCAATCTCTTCGTTTGTTGAGATATTTTTGAAGCTCTTCACAGTCTGCTTTGGTCTTAACTATCTCGAGCAGTTTGGTATCATCTGCAAATTTTGCCACATCACCATTTGCCCCTTTCTCTAGATTATTTAAAAATAAATTGAATGGAATGGGTCCCAGGAAAGACCCTTGAGGGACCCCACTAGCTACCTCTCTCCACTCTGAAAACTTACCATTTATTATTCCTACCTTTGTTTCCTGTCTTTTAACCAGTTATCAACCCATGAAAGGACCTTCCCTCTTATCCCATGACAACTTACTTTACTTAAGAGCCTTTGGTGAGGGTCTTTGTCAAAGGCTTTCTGGAAATCCCCCTTGTCCACATGCTTGTTGACCCCCTTAAAGGACTCTAGTAGATTAGTAAGGCATAATTTCCCTTTACAGAAACCATGTTGATTTCCCCTCAGCAAATATTCAACTCCAATGGGTGTACAGGTGGAGACAAGGACAGGAAACC